AGATTGACTTTGCTTGATTAGGAGCTGGCTCACATTTAGCTCGAGCTAACTCGAGTAATGTAGATTTTATACTAGTTATTTTATCATTTAAAACATATGAAACACGAACACGAACACAATACGATACGATACGATACGGGGACACGACATAATTGAAAAACATATGGCAGATGTCATGGAAATATTTTTATATTTAATTAATTATTAATAAAAAATATTTTTTTATTCTTTATTAAAAATATCACAATACAAATTATGCAAGAATAAAATTTTATTTCATAAATTTAATTTATATTATAAAACCTCATGTTTATGAAAATTAATTTTTAAAACTAGATATATTATTTTTCAAAAGATTTCATCCAACTTGTCTACCAAATTTTAAAAAATTCTATATTTACAAAGAGAAAATTACCAATGCTCAGCTTAAATGATATTGAATGCACCTTCGATGTTCAATTTTGACGAATGTTAGAGGAAGCTTCAACATGACGAGAGATAGATCGGTTTTGACTATGAGGTATAATTTAGACTATACATATATTTATAATTTTTTTAATTCTCGTGTCCCATTCTCTCAAAATTGTGCTAAGCTCATGTCCGATGCGGTATTGAGGTGTGTCTTGAACGTGTTCGAGCTTGAAAAAAATTCATGCATATATTTTGTAGTGTCGGAGAAGTGTTGGGACGTGTTGGATAAGTGTCGGTGTTTGATATATGTCCGACACGGGTACGGCATATTTTTAGAAATGTGAGTGCTACATAGTTTAAAAATCTAGTATATGATTCAATATGAAAAAAAAATATATATTTTGACATTTTATTTTAAAACAAGTGGAGAATAAGTACAATTATACATTATACTAACTTGTTTCCTAGGACTATGAAAACATTAGCTAGTTTAGACTCTTAACTTGTTTGCAACCTATTTAATTTTCCTTAAATAACTAACAAAAATTGCCATTTAATTTTCTTAACTGAAGATATAATCACGATTTTTGTTTCAATCATCAAAAAGCGAAAATCAAAACGAAATGAATAAAGAAAGATTGCAAAAGAAAACAATGAGACATTACACAAGGTAGCTTAGTAGAGGGATGCCCTTAAAAAGGAATGTAGGATTTGCACGATTGCATTTTACATATAACAATCACTATAGGTAAAAGAGGGAACAGAGAGCACAGAGAGGATATCATTCTTAACAAATTAATATTACTGAACTGAAGAGCCAAGCGCTCCATGTAAAAACTATAAGAAAAGGAATAAAGATGAGCTAAAATTGTGCTCATAATAAGTGGCTAAGCTCAAGCCTTCTTAAGACTTAATTTGATTGATAGGCATCATGTTCAATATAATAAATATAAGCTTTCTACTGATATAAATACGAGGCATGTGAAATTTAATTTAGAAGATAAAGCAATGACGTGGCGGAAATTTTTTTGAAATTAAATGTAACAAGGGCATGGTCATGAAAAATTATGATGAAGTTGTGTCCAATGCAGATGGTGGATTTTCTATGAGAATGAGTCTGTTTAATAGTTCCAGTTTTGAGCAACACTTTGCCTATTCTACTTTATGTGCCCAACTTAGTTTATGCTGCAGCATTTGGAAATTACATTCTATGCACTTTTTGAGCCAGTCAGGCCACAAAATTTTGACTTTATCTATCAAGTAAAATACTGCAGTCCCATATTATGCAACCATTTTGTTCCTAGACATGTTGCTGTGTTAAAAGGTAGGGGTAAACCTAAAAAGACTTGGGCATGTTATATAAAAAAATGATCTTAATTTATTAGAATTAAATGAAAATATAACACTAAAGGACACAACGGAGAAAAAGGATTCATGTAGCTGACCACCCTTAGTGGGATGAAGCTTGTTGTTTTTGGACATGTAGTTAGTTTTATGCTATTTGCAATGACTCCAGTAGAAAATTATTATATCTGCTGCTCTCTTTTCAAGCTATTTTGTGTGTTGCTTTTAGTGCCTCACTTGTGATTTTTATTCAATTTCTCCTTAGCATTTTTGGTTCTCCTATAGTGGCAATAATTTCATGAATTATTCAATGTTGTTTGGATTTATCCTGTGTTGCTTTTAGTGCCTCACTTGTGATTCTTATTCAATTTCTCCTTTAGCATCTTTGGTTCTCCTATAGTGGCCCTAATTTAATGAATTATTCAATGTTGTTTGGGTTCATCCTATGCATTTTTTATTCTTTATTCTTTTCTTGTGATAAACATGTCCTGGAATTTAAAATAAACCAACGGAAGGAAAGCCAACTTAGGATTAGTGCTTATTATTACCATCACATGAGGCATGTGAAAATAACTTTTAATTAATAAAACTCTACATTTCTAATTTTAATCTTATACATGCTTGTTGAATGTGAAGTTTATTAGGGTTTGTTGCAACTTGCAAGTGATAAACAATCTTTTGGAGATCTCTCTCTGTACAAGCATATGGCCACCTAAGCCCTTTTTCACTTTAGCGATATTTTTTTCTTTATCTATATTTTTTAAAATATTTAGTCATTGGTGTTGCAAGTGTTATGATTTGAGTCAAGTTTGCTACAACTGCAATGCAATTTTATTTTCCGTCTTAAAATTCAATTGCTTTTGGATTTTTCATGGTTATAAGTTCATTTAAATTTTTCTGGATTTATTCGATCGCCGAGCTCATTTTTTTTGGTGCGATTTATTATTATTTTTTTTAGGGTTTTTCAAGTGAAGTTGGATTTTTATGTAGTTAGTGGTCTTTTGTGTGTGGATCCTTGTTTCTTTTTATTGTCTACATTCAATATATTTGTTTTATTTGGAAGCCTAGGCCCTCAGGAATTCTACATCAACGTAGGATTAAGTTATGTATTTTTGAAAGCTATTATCAAAGTAGGAAATGAAGGGTTTTCGAAATAGGGAGGGCTTATGGCATGGAAGGAGATTGGATGGGAAGGTTAAGTATTTGGTTGTTTGTGTTGTGGGGTAGCTCTATGAAAAAAGCGAAATTAAATCTATAGACTTACACAACCTTTTTTAGGATTTGCTTGCTTTGATTTGAAATAATGTGGAATGTAGCAGCAGTTGCATGATATGATGCAAAGCTGGATGATCCTTCCTCCTCTTGAGAACCAATAGTATATATATATATATAATTAAAAAGGAATGGCCAATACACACACACACACACACATAAGGAACAACCAAAGGCTATTTATTATACACACACACACACACATAAGGAACAACCAAAGGCTATTTATTATACGAGTCTCCAGCCACCCTTAATGTGTCTAACAATTCTAGTACCACCTCCTTAAGGTCAACTGTGCTAGAGGGGATTCAAACTCTCGACGTGAAGGGTCTTATACCGTGGATGCCAAACAACAGGCCGGGGCACGCAACACAAAAAAAAAACATATATCTATATCTATCTATCTATCTATATAT